AAAAATCAAAATAAACAAACCAAACACGCATTTATTTGGTTTGATTCAAGTAAACAAAGGTCCGAACATCACATGACTGAAGTATTATGCAGTCACGCGACGTAATCGGTATGAAATAGCCCCTGAAAGATGGCATTCGGAAACTTTTGGCGGGGGTCTGTATATATTAATATATTAATATATTTCACTATAATATCTTTATACATAATTTTATATTTACTTTATAAGTTTATATAATTATTTTTAAACAATATATTCTTTTAATAAAATTAACTAAATATAGAATTATTATTTATAATAAAAGCAAATTATTTTATTAAAGATTGAATAATTAATTAAAATTTGTTTTGATTAGTATTAAAAGTAAATTTAATAACTATAATATAAAAACAATAGTAAAATCCTAATAATAAGTAAAATAAAAGATTTATTAAATATAAAAAAAATAAAACAAATACTTCAATAAAAAAATAAATTTTATATTATTTATTAAAAAACTTTTTTAGAATGAAATAAATTGCAATATTAAGAAAAATTTATTATTTTATATTTTTGAAAATAATAATATTAATTGGTATACAAATAAAATTATACTCTTTTTTCATAAGTTTTCTCTTTTATACTTGTTATGACTAATTAATATCATTAAAATAATTTATAAATGATAAATATTTATTTACATTATATCTTTCTACTTAATTAAAATTAATTAAGATATTTTTCTTGAATTACAATATTAATTGATCTTAAATTATCAAAAATTATATTATTTTTATATAATAAATCAATTAAATATTTAATATAATAATTTTATATTTGATTTCTCTTTAGTAGTGAAATCTTTAATTATATTTAAAAGATAACCTATATAAATTAAACAAGTATTAAATATTATTAATTACTTGTTGAAATTTTAAATTGAAATTTTTATCATTTTACTATTTCTATAATATTTATTTTTCATTCAAATATAACATTATCCTGAATTTCTAGTAAATTTTGTAAATATTTTCTCTAGTATATAAATTATATATTAGTATTATATCATTGAATAAATTTAAAAATAATTTTTTAATTTTTAACTTTTGTTACTAAAACAAGTAGTTAAATATATAAAATATAAGTGAAGAATATACTATTGAAAGTAGTTGAAAAAGAAAAATGGTTTTTAATATTAATATTATAAGATTTGAATTGCAATTTAGTACAATAATCAGTAAGACTTCTAAAAGGTTTATATAAGATAGTAAATATTCTAGCAATTTGTATAAATTGTATGCAATTTCTTATAAAACTATAGAAATCATATTTATGAGATTATTCACTTTTATAAAGTTTGTAAATTAATACCTAAAGAAATGTTAACATATTAAGTAACCAAAAACTGATACAATATATTTTTTACTAGAAATGCATAACATGATCCTGTTGAGCATAATAAAAATGCTGAATAAATAGATATATTTGAAATATTATTAAATTATTAGAGCTTTCCTTTTCATTAACCTATCTAAAATTTTGTATAATAAATAGATGCTTGCAAAAGTAGATTACATCTACCTGTGAAAATTTCATTTTCATATTATGAATAACTAATGAAACATCTATCTTGATTCCATTTACAATTTTTGATCTAAATGTATATCTTTCATTCTGCAAATTACCATCTCCAAAAACCAAGAGTAAAACTCTATTATGGCAGATTGTTTACATTTCTCATCTATATAAAAATCTGATATGACTTTAACAAAAGAAAGAATTTCTTTACATATTTTTATATTCACGTCAATAGTTTAACAGTCTTTGAGAAATTGTGAAAAAACTTCATGGTATAATAACAGGTTGTCAATATAATCTGAATCTATTAGACAATGACAATGTATATTGATATTTCTTTTGATATTTTGGAAATACTCGATATACAGTAGCAACAGATAAGAATTAACCAAATGAATGTGATCAAAAGTAAATAATTGTTTCTTCCTCATAGTGATAACATTTCCCAATACATTCACGCTTGGTTTCAATAAGAACTATAATAGAATAATAGCAGTAACAAATAAAAAAAAATAGCAATGAAGTTATTTGTATTTTGTAAATGTAAAATATTCAACATAAAATGGTCTTATCTGACTTTTTAATGGATCCTTTAATAGATAAAAGATGAATAGAAAACAAAAGAATTAATTCAGGATAAAATGGGTGGATGGATAGATTTAATTAGAAATGAAATAATTAATAGCTAAAAGCAACAAGTTAGTTGATATTGCAATTACTCAAATGGATAAATAAATAAACGAAATGGAACGAATGGAAATAAATTTTTTACGCGATTTATTCATTACCTTTTTTCTTTTCCAAAGCCGGCTAATTTATTTTGTAAAATAATCACTTGATCTTCCCACTTCACTTTCGTCGCCAATAAGTTTTCTTTTTCTTTCTTCAACTAGGCTATCTTATTTTCCCACCTCTTCTCTGTTTTTCACTCAAGCTCCCCTTCATTAATTCATCTTCTATCTCGTTCAACTTCTCCCCTTTATATTTCCTCTTCTCCCACTTCTCAAACTCCTCGACTGCCTTCTTAAAAAATACTTTTGCATCGTTTAATTCGGTTTTAATTTCTTCTTTCTTATGCATAGAGATTATGCCCAGATAAATCAATTAATTTTATACCAGTAAATCCTTTCAAATCTAAGTCTACTTCTAAACTAACTTCTTTTCGATCAATGATAAATTAATGGGCACATGATTTGGAATCTACTTTACCAAAAACCTGGACAAAAAGAATATGCATTGGGAGTCTTTCATTTATTGCAATATCACGTGTTTGTGCTCTTAAAAATATTCACTTTAAACATTTTCACTCAATAGGCTTTAACGAATTCGGACCTGTAAGAAGCTATTAACGATTTGAACATTAAAAAAAATATATGTATCACACTAAAAAAATCGAATACAATAAAAAATACATGATTTTTATTATATCTGAATTAAGCCCTGTAATAACCTAGTTGTATTATGCTATTTTGATAAAAAATCTATGGTTGATATTAAAATAATATTAAGGATTTTGTAACCAATTTATCATGTTATCCCATCGTAAAGGATGAATAAGTATATAACCCATTGTTGTAATAATTCTTTAACAAGTTTAAATTCTAATTCATAAAGGGTAGGAAGTTCTTGTCTATATATTAATGAAAAGAATTAAAGCAAGGCTTATCTTTACAGTCTTCACGAATATGAAGCACAATTTAACTTACAGATCGTTCAAGGTGCGAGCAGCAGCTCCGCTTAATTTATAATCTGGTATTGAAAAACTTTTGCGATTCGGTTGAGGTAACGAGGTGTTTCTTTGATAAATCGGTATAATATTTTTAACGAAATATCCTACTGAATCCAAAGCCTTCGTTGCTGGTTCAAGGAAGTTAAACATTTGAAACACGTGTACCATATCTAATTCATTAAAGATAAGATAAATATTAAGGGTTGGAGTACGTCACAAATCAGCTAAACATATTTCTCGAATGATTTACCTTCGTAAACTTCGTGCTGGACAAATGTCGTTCCAGTTTCTGAAGCTTTATTTGCCAACAAGTAAATTTCATCCCGTAACACTTCGGAATCACCACATTGTATTAATAAAGGGGGTAAGCTATTTAAATCCCCATATAAAGGTGACACGTAAGGATGGGTAACCATTTTTGCACGTTCTTCATAAGGGTGCAAATATAATTTGACCGGATGTAAGGGATCATCGTCCTTTTGTTTGAAGAGATAATCGTAATGTTGATTTTGAACCCAACTGGCACATGACATGGTTAAATCGACCCAAGGCTATATATTTATAAATGTGAAGGTTTTGTTTACCTTTCCTTGGAAAGAAAAGATGACAACCACAAATACCTTCTTTATTTATAACAAATCAACTTACGGAAAATAATACTGCGCCGCCGGGCAATGGCACGTGATTATCCCTTAGATAGAACAATAATGCTAAGGCTGATAAGGTTAAAAAAGGATTAAGTATAAATTTTTAGCGGGGAATTTTTAGGAAGCATAGATATGTATTAAAAAAAGTACATACCTAAACCACCTCCAGCACTATCGCCAGCGACAACAATATTTTCTGGCTGAATCGCCAAACCATTGGGATCAGTCAAATAAAGGAAAGAATGAACTACGTCATGTAGACCACACGGGAAGGGTCCTTCAGGAGCGAGTCGATAATTGATGGCTAATGTCGTAAATATGGATATATGAAGTTAGTTGATCATCAAGGATCTTACCAAATATTGAAGATCACACGTCACGTGGGTCAACGGGATCTCACACTTACCGAAAACTCTTCTTCCGGTTACTTTTGAAATACGATAATTTATTTCACGATGAGTTTTCGCAGACATTAAATAATAAGCACCGCCATGTACATATAAGATAACTTTCTCATTTGACCATTTTATTCCATCATCATCAATATAAATATGCTTAGAATTAGCAGCGGATGAACGAAATTCTTCATTAATTTTCCTCCAAAGTGATTTAGGAACAACCCATTCACAACTTATTTCCCTAACACCAGTTTCTTTCTCTTCAAGTTCTTCAAGTATACCTTGTAACCCTCTATTTAAAACCTTAAATGAAACTGGAGTTACGATAATATCCGAAGGGGTGAAAGCAAAGGGGATATTAATGAAACGTCTTAACATTTCTACGTCAACTAAATGAGTATGATCCGTTAATGTTCTCATTGCAGCGCACATTAAAGTAAGTTGAATTGGCCAAGAAGGTTTCCTTGGGCCCGATAAATGATGTGTGAAAAAATTTGCTGTTAAAACTGTTGCCTGAGAAGTAAGTAATGCTGCATGGTCGAGTAACAACCAACCACCATCATTATTATTACTACGAGGACAAGAAGATTTAACCAAAACGGATTTTGATTTATTATTATTTGTTGAATCATCATTTTGATGATTTTGACTTTTTCGTAATTTATTTTCGATTGAAGTTTGAAATGACGCTAAATCATACATTTTTTTTTTTTTGAAAAAATTTTTTAAATTGGGATGGGTTTTTTATTTATTTATTTAATTTTTTTTTTTATGCTATTAAATTATATGATGTGGGGAGGGTAGGCGTCGATCTAAAATGTAATTACTGTATAGATGGTAAGTGGGAAATATAATCTTGTTGTAATATATTTAAGAATAATAGAATTTAATGGAATGTAATGGAAAGCAATAAAAATATTAAATCAAAAAAAAAAAAAAAAAAAAGATTATTTTTGATTGGTGTTGTTAGCAGATTATGATTTGCACATGTGAGATGCAGCATCAGATGATATTAGTTAGTCCTTTCTTGTTATAGTTTAACATTTTCCCCGCATAAAAAGACGTTTTTTCTAAGGTTGAGAGAACGACCTTAGTAATATATTGTTTACAAATAAGGAGGTTACACGTACGTTAAAGAGAACCCGCTCGTGATTTTAAGCAAGGGATATCACATTACAGTCATATTTTTACCCCATAATGATTTTTTTTTAACCAACGTAAACTAAAGAAATAAAGATGATAAAATAATTGCCCGTGTAACAGCAGCAATTATGTAACTTTCGTTTCTTGTGTGAGTTGATCGAAAACTGGAGACGAAATCGGGGGACGAGTTTATACGGATAGGGCGTTTGATTTGTCACATGTACAAATAGTGGGTGAAAAAATCAAAAACGGGTTTTAATTTTTTTTTTGATTTCCCACACCTTTGAATAAATCAAAATAATTTCGTGTTATGATTTCATTTTATTTATTGATTTATTGATCAAATTCGTTTTATTAAAAAAAGTGTAGATCTTCTTTCATTTAAAAAATATTTTTCTCATTGACCAATCCAACTAAAAAGATTCATCATATTTCTTCATATGTTTGAAAGAACAAAAAAAACTCGTCGAAACAAATATATACAACAAATCCTTTTTTTATCACAGGATCATGGTGCTAATTCAAAGCCACATTCCATATTAGTTTTAGCTCATTCATTAGTTTTCCCCACATTGGTTTTTTTTTTAAAAAATAAAAAAATAAAAATAAATAAATAAATTACATAATAAATAACCAAACTTTAATTAACGCGAACGTTCAAACACTACAAGACCTCAAATATTTTGATTACATGAGATATAAAATATAATGTCACTTTGAATTTTGACGTGCTTTGAATCTTTAGTATTACAGGAAACTACAGATTTTGATTTCGTTGGAAAAAAACTGGTTAAAGACTAACAGCTTTTATATTATATTATTATCAATACAAATAAATTAAGTAAATTAGGGAGGATTTGCATTTCACAAAATTCGTTATCCGAACATTTCTAAATCCCAAAAATGCACAATATTCAAGCCCCTTTCCCGTGACTCATCAGATGGGAAGACAATTTATGAATTAAATCATAAATATGAGCAAATCCATGTATATTTTTAGCCAATTTACCAAGATCTGAAACATCTCAGCATCGTAACTACTTCTAGAGGAACTTTCTGATTTTACATATATATGATTCGACCTTTAAAATGAGCTAATGCTATTGTATCTTGATCAAATTCATGGACTACTAACTTCAAAACTTCTATATTATTTATAGATCCATGGGATGTTGCCCAGCAACAGGTGTAGGAAGAGCCGACAAAATCTTTGTGCTGATTAGAACATATCAGCTAAAATGCTTTCATACCTTTTTTCCACTAACCTTCTTTAATAGGTTCTTTTTTTTAAACAATTTGTAGTTTCATACCATTTGTTTATTGCTTACGAAGAACTTTAAAATTTTCCTCATAAGATTTAGGTTTTTGTTGACGTAAAAAAGGAATAAATGTTTCAATGCCCCAATGTTTGATAAAAGAAAATGGTTCGTAACTGTAAAAGTAGATATAATGATTTATGGTCAATTCATGAAATTCAAAAGCAGCAAAATTCACAAAGCGGCCAACAAAAAAAAAAAATTAAATGACCGACACGGTTTCGTCAACTTTAAAAAAAAGTCGCGTGTATTTAATCTACAGATAATCATGCAAAATATTTTTTCTGATTGAATAGATTATCTTTATCGATAATCAAAATTAGATATTAAATTTATTTTTTTAAAAATTTTTTTTTTTTTTTTTTTTTGAACAATGTCTGCAATAATATTTCCAAGGAGATTATTTCGTTATTATTCGTTTAATAATAATAAATATTTTAATAAATTTAATAAACTATCCTCCTCATTAATACTGAATAAGAATTATAATAAGTATGGTTTTATGAACAGATTTATGCATGGTTTGGGTATGTCTTTTGTTCGAGCTTTTTATTAAAATAAGGTTTTTTTTTTTTTTAAAAAAAAAAAAATATTCACTCTTTGTTCTCTTTTGAAAAAATTAATTAATAAAGATTATCTTCGTCGTTAAATTGTATAGCCGATAAAGATTTGAGTGCTCAATTAGCAGAAGAATTAACGTATTATGAAAAAGAAAAAGATTTAATATCAACTTCGACAGAAATTATTGATGATGTTTATGATTATAAGGAAACTTCTTCTATCATAACAAAACCAACAAAAGTATCACTAAATCAATTCAATTGGGAAGTAAGTAAATTACTCCGATTCATTTCTTATCGTAGATTTCTTAATCAGGATTAAGTAATTTCTTTTTTCTTTTGGATTTAGCTTGTTGATAAGAGAACTTTGAATGA